CATGAACCACGTCTCTTGTAAAACCTACTGTCAGCCAACTAGCTCCAATCGCCGCCTCGTCTATCCTGTCCATTGCTAATACTAAGTCTATGACTTGCCATGCCTTAGTCTCTTGTGTATCAACCCACAAATGTTGTCGTACTGCTGGCTTTGATTAGGTTAAATGTTGAACCACAACGTTTGTGGGTTGACACACAAGAGATTAGGGCATGGCAAGTCATAGACTTGGTATTATAGATAGAAAGAGGATAGCCAACTAGCTAGAGCTAGTTAGCTAAAAATAGTCGTGATTCAAGGATTACGTTTATGATCAAACACGTCTATTGTTAGCCAAATAGCTTTAGTCACCACCGCGTCTTTCCTGTTTCTATCTGTAATACCATGTCCATCACATTCTACGTCCTAGTCTCTTGTGTGCCAACCCACAAATGTCGTGGTTCTACTTGTTTTGATCAGGCTCACCGAAGACGTCTCCTCTTTGCTTCTGATTGTTGCTTTCTCATCCCCCTGCGATCGCTTTTCCTAAAATTAAGGATATTATCTTGATCCAGCCGTCTTTTTTTCTGATCTTACTGTTGCCTGGTCTTCTCCAAGTTTGTTTAGGCAATATGCAAAGTTTTCGCTAATCTTGTCTTCTTCAACTCTCTTGTTCAACAGATCTCTATCTGTCAGTATTTCGATGGCCTCTCGGATCTTTCGTTTTCTTGTATCTTCACTGCATGCAGTCAACCTTTCGGTCGATTTCGTCTCCCATTCGTGCAATGTGTTCCGCTATTTCCTGTCTTTTCGTATCCATGTTCCTGCAGAGTCCTTGATGTTCCTTGATTCGTCGGCCGATTTTTCTTACTGTTTCACCGATATGCTTATGCTAACAGTTACTGCATTTGATGCGATAAACTCCCGAGACAGCAAATTTGTCAGTCTTCTAGTGTTGCGTCGGCAGACTGGTGAAAAGTGTTTTCTTTTCCTTTGTTATAACCCTGATATTCCATTTCCTTAGTAATGGTCGCAATTTTTGACTCAGTTGTAATGAGGGCAGGCAAATCTAATATCCTCCTGTCATGCCTTCCCTGTCACAATATTTTACCGATTTCAACTTGGATTTTATGAAAATCAGATCAGGAATAAGGATGACAACCAAAAATTGATTTGCCTGCCCTCACCAGAACTGAGTCGACAATTGCGACCATTACTAAGAAAATGGAATATCAGGGTTATAACAAAGGAAAAGAAAACACTTTTCACCAATCTGCCGACGCAACACTAGAAGACTGACAAATTTGCTGTCTCGGGAGTTTATCGTATCAAATGCAGTAACTGTGAGCAGAAGTATATCGGTGAAACAGGAAGAAAAATCGGCCGACAAATCAAGGAACATCAAGGACTCTGCAGGAACATGGATACGAAAAGACAGGAAACAGCGGAACACATTGCACGAATGGGGCACGAAATCGACCGAAAGGTTGACTGCATGTAGTGAAGATACAAGAAAACGAAAGATCCGAGAGGCCATCGAAATACTGACCGATAGAGATCTGATGAACAAGAGAGTTGAAGAAGGCAAGATTAGCGAAAACTTTGCATATTGCCTAAACAA